TTTGGTTGCAGCCGTCATTGTTGTTTGACGGGCCCGGGCTGGATTCAAACCCGCCACCTTAGGTGTATGTGGCTGGTGCCTTAGCCACTTGAGCCGCAGGCGCCAAGCCTCGACCTAGCATTTGTAACTGTAACTTTGTATATGTCTTGCTACAATAGTATAAAAGAGCTTTGTGGACTCAGCACCCATAACTAAGTTGTTGGAGTGCTAGCCATGTATATGGAGCTGGGAGGCTCAAACTTGGTCTGGGCCTGGTAAAAATATAATAACAACGACAACAAAAAAAATAGATGGGCATTGTGGCAGGTGCCTGTAGTCCCAGCTACTTAGGAGGCTGAAGCAAGAGAATCACTTAAGCCCAAGAGTTTGAGGTTGCTGTGAGCTGTACGCCATGGCACTCTACTGAAGGTGACATAATAAGACTCTGTCTCAAAACAAAATAAAATAAAATAAAATAGCTTTGTGGGTATGACTGGGGAGGCTCAGTGCTTTAAGGTTGATGGCCTGCTGAGTTCTCCTGGCAGCTAATAAAATTCCTTCCCCGATAATCTTTGGTAAAATTCTTTTGGTTTCAATTCGCCAATCCTGCAACAGGAGGATCACTTGAGGCCAGGAGTTCAAGACCAGCTTGGGCAATGTAGCAAGACCCCATTTTAAAAAATATTTTAAACATTAATCAGGCATGGTGGCATGTGCCAATAATCCCGGGAGATTCAGGCAGGAGGGCAGCCCAGCAGGTCAAGGCTGTAATGATATATGATCATGCCACTGTACTCCAGTGTAGCTTGAGTGACAGAATGAGACCCTGTCTCTTAAAAAAAAAAAAAAGAAAGAAAAGAAAAGAAATCTATGTATTATATCTGAGAATATCTCCCTCTCTTTTTTTCCTTAAGAGTTAGAGTCCCAGCTAAGCACAGTAGCTCATACCTGTAATCCCAGCACTTTGGGAGGCTGAGGCAGGAGGAGCACTTGATACCAAGAGTTTAAGATGAGCCTAGGCAGCATAGCAAGACCCCATCTTTTAAAAAAATTTTTTTTGGAAGAGTCTAGCTCTGTCACCCAAGCTGGACTGCCATGGTCTCAGCCTAGCTCACACCAACCTCAAGTGCCTAGGCTCAAGCAACCCTCCTGCCTCAGACTCTTAAATAGCTGGTACTATAGGCACATACTACCACATTCAACTAATTTTTTTTTTTATTTGGAGTCAAAGTCTCACTTTGTCACCCTGGGTAGAGTGCCCTGGTGTCATAGCTCACAGCAACCTCAAGCTCTCAACCTGAAGCAATTCTCTTGCCTCATCCTCCCGCATAGCTGGAGCTAGTTGCCCGCTACAACACCGGGCTATTTTTTTAAGAGATGAGGTCTCACTCTTGCTCAAGCTGGTCTCAAACTCGTAGTAAGCTCAAACAATCCACCCACCTTGGCCTCCCAGAGTATTAGGATTATATATTTTTTAAAAATAGCTTGTGTCCAGGAGTTTGAGGTTGCAGAGAGCTGTAATCTTGCCACTACACAATAGAGCTGACCCCATGTCTAGTTTAAAAAAAGATAGAGACAGGATCTCACTGTGATGCCTAAGTTGAAGTACAGTGGCTATTCATGGACACACCATAGCCCCACATTCCTGGGCTCAAACACCTCCTGAGTAGCAAGGCATGCCACCACTCCTGGCTAAAATATCTTTTGATACAAATTTCAGGGTTTTTTAAAAACATTTCTTATAGTAATTTTTTATATATCATATTTTGTCTCTATACTAAATAACTTCCTTAGTGTGTGCTTCTTCAATTGTTTTTCTCCTGCCCTGGCTAGAGTGTAGTGACATCATCATAATTCACTGCAGCCTGAAACTCTGGTTCAAATGATCCTCTTGCTTCAGCTTCATAGGTACCAGGGAATACAGGCATGTGCCAACATGCCCAGCTAACTTTTCTCTTTTTTTTT